GCTATGCGGGACTTTATTCCTTCCAGAGTTCAGCTCCATGCGACTGGGAAGACACACAGACCTGTACTTCTGGAAGTCTCTGGGCTCGGGCTCGGATCTGGTGCTTCTCTCGGAGGTAAGTAGTGACCACATCAGGATTCAGCCAGGTGTTGTGAATCTGGACTCCAATCCTCATTCCCCTGCTTGGGGCTATCCCATGATGCTCTGCTTCCAGGTAGTACTTGGCTCCACCCAACAGCTCCAACTTGGGAGTCTTTTGCTGCCAGGTCCCTTCATCTCTATTCTGCTCCCAGGAGTCAAACCAGTCAGCAGTGCCAACGCTGATGGAGGCCACTTTCACCTGTGCCCAAATAAGCATATCATGATCAACACTATGAAGCTTCCAGGCATCTCTTTCTCAAACACTAAGTGTCTGAACTGCTGCTAACAAGAGAGTTTTGAACTGATCTGCCTTTTAACATATTAACCCAGTTACCTCAGCCCCGTGGTTATTTACGCTTCTCCAGCTCTCTATCTGCCTGTCTATCTATCATCTCTTTCCATTGAGTAGTACTCAAATGAGACTAGATGGGCCATGTTCACAGAAGGAACAACCAACCTAAACCCTGGGATTACATGACACTATGGAGAAGGTAGTATTAAGCCCTTCAGAGACCTGGAATGACTTGATCACATCAAAATCTATGACATTTCTCCAACCAACTAGCAAACCAATTTCAGAGAAACATAGTAATAATTTCAGGAAAATATTGTGATTCTTTGTCAATGGCATAACTGCATTTTGGCTGCTGTTAAAGGTATCCTTTCTTATCCTTCAATGTTGATGGGGAATTCCTACATATAGCTGCCTACATCTCCACCCAAAATTAGTGGAAAAGGCACAAGTTTTGGAGTCAGGTAAATTTGGGGTTGAATCCTGAATGTGCTTTTTTGCTATCCAAGTGAATTGGGCACACAATCTTTCTTTTTTCTTTCTTCTTTTTTTTTTTTTGAGACAAGGTCTCACTCTGTTGCCCAGACTGGAGTGCAATGGCAGCCACAACTGCCCAAGGCTCAGGTGATCCTCCTGCCTCAGCCCCTCAAGTAGTTGGGACTACAGGCATGCACCACCATGCCTGGCTAATTTTTGTGTTTTTAATAGAGACAGGGTTTTATCATGTTGCCCAGGCTGGTCTCAAACTCCTGGGCTCGAGTGATCTGCCTGCCTCAGCCTCCCAAAGCACTAGGATTACAGGCATGAGCCACCACATCTGGCCCACACAATCTTTTTAAGCCTCAATTTCTTCATGTGGAAAAGATACATACACATGTCTTTGGTATATATGTATATATACACACAAACATATACATAATATATATGCATATATACATACATTTTGCAGAGATGCAGTGAAAACTAGAGACAAGGTCTATAAAAGATGTAGCATAACATTTGGCTTACAGTGAGTGCTCAATAAATAGTAGGTTCACATTCAACCAAGTTCTTTTTCAACAATTAAAGTTCCTGATCATCCAATGGCATGTTAAAACTATCTGTAAACCAGAGAGCCTTAACTTTGATTCTTTCTTTCTTCATGGGTATAGGACTGGCAACAGAGAAAAGGAAAATAAGAAGACAGTGAATACCTTGGTCCTTGGTTCCTCTGACCAACTGAAATGCAAGGAAGCTTGGCTGTCTGCCTGAATCCAGAAAGTGTAATTATTTGTCTCTGGAGCCACAAAGAACCCACTGAGCCGTGCTCTGTAAAGCGGAAGAACATAGAGTCAAGCAAGAGTAACCAAGGCCTGAATCACTGAACCAACAAATAGTTGCCCTTGTACTTTATCTTCTTTTATGGTAATGAAGAAGAACAACCTGATTCTTATGCCACATGATTGTCCAGAGTATTCTAGAAAGAGATATAGTACCTGCCTAGTCTCAATAGCCCAATACGTCTCTACACTGGACACAAATCCCCTTGCTGTTGTGTCATGTTTGGGAAAGTTGTAGCCACAGCACACAGCTATATGGAGACTTAGCTGATAAAACCACCTAACACAGCTATTGCAGGCCCTGGGTCATGGTAGAAGCTCAATCTATAGTAAGTATGATTCTTATTATTAGAAATAAAGACAGATTGCTTATCAGAGTTTGCTCTGAGCTTACCAGCAACCACAACACCTGCAAAGAGTATTTTTCTAATTAAAAATATTATGATCCACAGATAAGAGTCAATTCAAAATGTCAAGAATTTCAAATTAAAACCCATCAAATGCAGCTTTGAAGAAGATTACAGGCAATTTCATAAAACATTTTTTAAAAGATCATATTTTTAATATTTAAATTCCAGCAATCTAATATTATAGGCAGACATAGTTAAGGAACTAATTAGACTGCCCAAATAAATACCAAGAATATTTTCTGAT